GCGGGGTGAGGGGGCGGGAGGGGAGCTGGCCCCCGGCGAGGAGGAAGGCCCCCCGGGGAGACGCTGCCGCAGGAGGGCTCTGGAGGCCGGGACCGGGGGCCGCCCGGCCGCCAGCCCCAGCCGAGGGTGACGTGAAGGGTGCACATCCCGCTGTGAAGACCCTTAGGATCTCAAAAAGCCCGTGAGTGCCTTTAAAACGTCACAACTGGCAGTGTCGATGAGGGGGCACCCTCCTCCTGCGCTTCGGGAGGGTGAGCCCCTTCCCACGCCCGTGGGCAACCGCCATCTTCCGCAGCGCTTGCTCCTCACAAGGGGAAACATCTGCGAGGCCGGGCAGGGCTCCCGGGCAGCGGCACCCAAAGCTCAGCCGAGGTTTCTGTGTGATCCAACCCAAAGCACCAGGAGTTTCTCTGCTAACCCACTCTGAACGCCTTGGAAACCAGCAGCTGACCAGCAGCTCTGAAACGTGTGAGTCTGACATGGTGTGAATCACACAGAAACCCAGCATGGTGGGGTTGGCAGGGCCCTCTGGAGATCCCCCAGCCCAGCCCCCTGCCCAAGCAGGGTCACCCAGAGCAGGGGGCACAGCACCCACACCCAGGCGGGGCTGGAATATCTCCAGAGAAGGAGACTCCACAGCCTCCCTGGGCAGCCTGGGCCAGGGCTCCGTCACCCTCAGAGGGAAGAAGTTCTTTTTCGAAGGTCCCCTCTCAGCCTTCTCTTCTCCAGGCTGAACAAGCCCAGCTCCCTCAGCCTCTCCTCGTAGCAGAGATGCTCCAGTCCCTCCTCATCCTCGTAGCCCTCCGCTGGACTCTCTCCAGTAGCTCCCCATCTCTCTCAAACTGGGGAGTCCAGCACTGGACGCAGCACTGCAGATGGGGCCTCCCCAGGGCAGAGCAGAGGGGAGGAGAACCTCCCTCGCCCTGCTGCCCACACTCCTCCTCATGCACCCCAGGATCCCATTGCCCTTCTGGGCACCCAGGGCACGCTGCTGGCTCATGGTCACCCTGTCGTCCCCCAGCACTCCCAGTCCCTCTCCGCAGAGCTGCTCTCCAGCAGCTCAGGCCCAGCCTGTGCTGGTGCCTGGGGTTGTTCCTCCCCAGGGGCAGCACCCTGATATCTCACGCTGATCCCTTACAGCCCCTTCCTTTTCTGCACTGAGCCTGCGAAGGGCCCCAAGCAGCACGCCCGCCCGCAGAGGACGGTGCAGAGCAGCTTAGCACCGCGTGTTCTCTCCTCTGCGAGCGGGAAGCGGAGGCGATCACAGCATCGCACCGGAAACGTCACATTCTGCACTGTGAGATTATCATCACCCAACACACAAGTTACCCTTCGGCTGCGGCCAATCCTGCCAGCCTCAGGAAGCGATCCGAGGAGCTTTGGGGGCACAAACCGGCCGGGGTTACTCATTTCTTCTGAATGGGCCACGGTCACTTCCCACGTGAGGGTGTGGATTCCATTCAGACTCGGAGCAAAAAATGGCAGTTTTTCCTGTTCCTCAGCACCGAGGTTTGCTTGGAAGGCGCCCAGCGCACCGGCAGGTCAGCCTGGTCCCGCTCAGCTCCGAGCCAAGCAGGAGCACTGCGCAGAGCCTGGCAGCCAGCGAGCTCGCGGCGCAAAGATGTGACACGGGGAATTTTTGAAGCGCCTCGGGAAAGGGGAATAAATTCGGGGTTGTGTCTCTGGTTTGTTACCTACAGAAGGAAAATGTGTGGGGTTTTGATCCATTTGAAGCCTGAGCTGTGCTCACGGATCTTTCACACAGAATCACAGAATGGTGGGGGTTGGAAGGGACCTCTGTGGGTCACCCAGCCCAACCCCCTGCCCAAGCAGGGTCACCTGCAGTAGAGAAACTTATCCAGGCAGATCTTGAACATCTCCAGAGAAGGAGACTCCACAGCCTCCCTGGGCAGCCTGGGCCAGGGCTCCATCACCCTCAGAGGGAAGAAGTTCTTCCTCGGGTTCAGCTGGAACTTCCTCTGCTCCAGTTTGTGCCCGTTGCCCCTTGTCCTGGCGCTGGGCACCACTGGAAAGAGTCTGGCCCCGTCCTCCTGACCCCCACCCTGCAGATATTTGCCCTCAAGCTCCTCTACTTTGTGTTTTTTTCGCTCTTTTTTGAAAGAAAACAGTAGTAGGTGGAGCAGTTGTTTCATTTTTGTGAGGGCGTGACTGTACGTGGCGGGTTAAACTGCTGCAGAGGAAAACCAGCCTCCTCCCCTCCTGTGGCGAGATCAGAGCGACCAAGACCAACCCCGCTC